CTTCTAGGAACGTGGCTGAAAGTTCAATTGGAAGAGAATAACTGCTTACTCATGGAAGCAACTGAGAAGTGAAAACATGCTAGACATTAGTTGACTAGGAGGGCTGGGCATCTCTTGTGCCTGATGCAAAATTAAGCCTTTCATTTCCCTCTCATAAAGGACGCAACATCACATTCTGAAGGAGTGAGTGGAAAAGAGTCATCAGACAAACTTTTTTTAAAAAAAACAGTAAAACAAATAGTAGCATTCACATTTTTGATGTCACATGGGTTGACATGGCAGTGGGGAATGGAAACTTTTGACGTGTGGGGACACGCTGGCTCATTTCACAAGAGCAGGTTTCACTCTCGATTTTGCGAGCGTTGCTAAGTAACTAAATGTAAGTAATGGCGAGTGTAGGTTTTTAAAAACCCTGTCCCATTGGGAACAGTTCTGTGGAAGTACACTAGATGTCACCAAGGGAGCAGCACAACCTCAATGCAATGCTCACATGACATTGGAGGCTGGCAGCTCTTGTGTGAGATTCACCATTAGACTTGTTTACTCCTCCCGCAGATGTATTCGTCCTGCTTATCAGGTGTGTATTCTCAATTAACTTCATTCAATGTTGTGTTTTTACTTGATGTGTTGCAAACCCCCATTGTGTAGGACTGTCAGAACTATAGTAGCCTTGCAAGGTTTGTATCCCAGAGCTAGGGCTGTCCTTCGTACAAATTTTAACCTGCCTCTTACTAACTGTTGGACAGAAATAGTTGCAAATGAAAGGACTCTCCTAGCATCTTGGAAAGCATGGTTATAAAGGAGAAGATCACCCTTCAACACTCTAAAAGAAGTGTGTGATAAAAGAAGTGGGTGATTTGATTTTTTTGAGTCGTTGAAAGGATAGTGTGATTTAATGTCAAGAGTGCTGGTATTTTTTGGTTACTATGAAGAAGAAAGCTCTATTCATGTCCTGCAGAAAATATCTGTTTTGTATGTTTCTGTGCCAAAAAGTTGGCCGATTCTCCAAGTGAATGGACTACTTTGCGGAGATAATGGTGTCTTTGTGTTGGGTCCAGGATCTATCAGCCTGTGTCAAAGTTTGTGTGCAATGTCATCCGGAGGAAGACCTTTTAGCAAAGTCATGATAGCAGTGGAATCTTTGGCAACTGTGGCGCAGTCTGTATTTGCTGAGTTAAATGAAGTTGTTGAGACACTGGAAGCAGCAAGCACTGTCTGTTTCCAGATAACAAAGTAAAATATTGTCCAGCCTTACTTAAAAGAATTTGCAACTCATTCTGTGTTGCAAATTCACCAAGTCACACCTCTGTGGAGGATTCAACTGGTCTTTGAAAGTCATAACTCTTTCTGATGCACTTTGTAGATAGTGATAAGAATGTTTTGGAAGCCAGATTTTTCTTCAATAATATCAGAATCTCTCCCTGTTTTTTCTCCCTTGAGGCTAAAGGGGAACAGCTTTTTTTCTTGTTTGTAAAGTGTCAGTGATGCACTAACACAGGGGTAGGGAACCTTTGGCCCTCCAGCTGTGGTGGACTTCAACTCCCACAATTCCTTGAGGCTCGGCATTCGCCCCAAAGGCTTACCTTGGCCCAATGCCGAGCCTCAAGGAATTGTGGGAGTTGAAGTCCACCACAGCTGGAGGGCCAAAGGTTCCCTACCCCTGCACTAACAGAACATTTATGACGGATTTGGCCTTTCTTGGTGAACTCTGACATTACAGAATTTGGCATGAGTGGGAGATTACATAAGAGGTGCAGCTGTTTAGTATGAAGCTGCCTTGTTTGGTATATTCTGTCACACTTTTAGTAGCAGCTATTACTGGCATTAGTAGCTGCATTATACAGTCTAGCGGGAAATGTCGGCAGTAAGTCATTTTTGGCTTTGAGACAAAAAACTTGAGAAGCAAGCTAGAAGTTAGGATCTTTAGAGTTGTAAAGCAGATGCTTTGATCATGGAATGCTTCCATTACTGAAAATTATTCATAATCGTTTTTATATATACACATAATAAATATGCATGTGTGTACGTGACTGGAGTGTCCACTTACACAGACAAGCTCCTGCCTCCACAAACAGCTGTGGCTCTCACCATTCAGGAGACACCAATGGATCACCCTCCAGTGACACTGCAAGTTATAGTGAACGCCGTGAACAAGTAAAAGAGCCCTGCCAGTGTCCCCCATAAACACAATACTGCCCACCACCCAAGTGAAGGCTTTCATATGGGGACAATATCATCCTAAATTTTATGTGCTTCCTCCACCACAGACATCTCCTTGCTTCTTACTCTTGCCATCAGTGTAGAATTTGCATGACCGCGCTCACTGCCTCTCCCATAACCCTTTCCTATTCTTTTCTGTGGCAAACAGGAATTGATCAGCAACTGAAAATAGTAGAGAGGTTTGGGGGAGAATTCACCATGATTTATAGGAGTTGTAGGTACTGGGATGTATAGTTCACTTCCAGTCTAAGAGCACTTTGAACTCCACCAACGATGGACCTGGAACTAACTTGGCACACAGAACTCCCATGATAAACAAAAATTACTGGAGGTCTTTGGAGGGATTCATAGGAGTTGTAGTTCACCTACATCCAGGGAGCACTATGAACCCAAACAATGATGGCTCTGTACCAAACTTGGCAGGCCTATCCGATATGCCCAAACTGGAATACTGGTAAGTTTTGCAGGGAATTGGCCTGGATATTTTGGAGTTGTAAGTACTGGGATTTATAGTTCACCTGCAACTAATGGAATTGACCAACAAAAAATTCTGGAGATATTTGGGGAAAATTCAACTTGATTCAAATTCAATTTGGGGAAAATTCAACTACACCCCGAGAGCACTGTGAACCCAAACACCGATGGATCTGGACCAAACTTGGCACACATATCTGATATGCTGAAATTTGATTACTGAAGGGGTTTGGGGGGAACTGACCTTCCTTTCTGGAAGTTGTAGTTCACTCACAACCAGAGAAACTGTGACCTCTACTGATGATGGACCTGGGCCAAACTTGACACACAAAACCCCCATGACTAACTGAAAGTACTGACTGACTCACCATACTGGGATTTGTGCTTTACCCTACAGCCAGAAAGCACACTGAACCCCAATGGCAATGCATCTAGAGCAAACTTGCCCAACATGACAAATTTTAAGTACTGATGGAATTTTGTGGGGTTAACCTGGCATGATGTGAGTTCTAGTTCACCCACAACCTTATGTGTTTTGTGGAATTAAAAATTGACTTTTTCAAATAACCCAAGCAACACCAGGTATCTAAGCTATTTGTAATAAATCTAAACATATGTTGAAGGAACCTAGATTTAGAATTTGTGCATAACCTCCATGGTAAAATACTCTGGTTTGTGTCACAACTACATATCTACCCATGGAGTCACATGTACCATCAGCTCTCCGCATTTGCTGGGGTTAGCTGCACAGGATTCCCATGAAAATGAAAAACTGAATAAAGAAATAGTTGTTTTTTAACCCAAGAACACCTCTAAGAATTTCTAGGTCTCATAGCATGACTCAGTGATCATCATTTGCTGAAAGCTGGCTAGTGAATCACATTGGGTCACCTAAAAATTCCTAACAAAGTGTTCTTTCTAGAAATGTCTACAAATTTGAAGACCTAGAGATTCCTAGAGAGAAGATTTTTAATAAAATCCATAAAAGTCAAAACTGCAAATGTGGATGACTGTACTGATTTCTTTGTTTATCGATAGACTGTTTCTAGTTCAACAGAAGGGACCAGCAAAAATATCCTTTGAAGGGACCATCAAAAATATCCACTAAATAAAGCCTGATTTAATTTAGGGAAATATATATTTTTATCAGAACTCTTCAGAATCAACAAGCCAAGAATTTGTAATTGTTGGCTAGCCAATACAAACTATTTTTATACTAAGTCTCTTCCAGCAGTTTTGGCCATGCTAGTTGAGTTTGATTGAAGAAGTAATTCAAAAACATCTGGGTGGCATCACCTTCTGGAAGGCTGCCATGAATAAATGACATACTTTGAGGACTGGTCAGGAAAGACTTTGTTTACTAAGACCTTTGAGTGTGGGAGACCTTTTAGCTGAGCATTATTGTATTTTATCATTATTATGTTCTACCTGCTTTATATATGGTTGTAAATGAATGCTTTAAGCACTATTTATTTTAAACCTTGTGTTCTGTTTTAATTTATATTGCAAATCTCTCATATTGGGAGAAAACTGAATAGAAATTAATTAAATAAATATATAAATAGTGTGCGGCATTTTTAAAACATTTTATGAAATGTTTACACATTTTTTAAAAAGTATCCTACATGCTCTTTATGCAATATGTTTGTAAGTATTACATTTATAGCCTCTCTTACATCCTAGTAGTTTAAGTCAAAGCACCAAAATTTTCAGTAATAACCCAGTTTGAGTCTTCCTGGTCTTACATTTAATCTTACATTTTCAAAACAACTTACATTTAATCTTACATTTCATATATACTGTATATATGATGACAAATGTAAGATCAGGAAGGGTCAAACTAGGTTATTGATGAACATTTGGTACTTGAATTAACCCAATTAAGAAAGATGTTTTGAAAATGCCACCTTTTACTGCTCTTTATAGTCAGCTGTAATTGTTTACAAATGTCGGTTTGGGAAAAAGACATCTATAGACCAACAGAGGGTTGCTGTGAGTTTTCCAGACTGTATGGCCATGTTCCAGAAGCATTCTCTCCTGACATTTCACCCACATCTATGGCAGGCCATACAGGAACATGGCCATACCGCCTAGAAAACTCACAGCAACCCAGTGATTCTGGCCATGAAAGCCTTTGACAACATATACATATATATATGAGAGCGGGGGAGGGAGGGAGAGAGAGAGATTGTATATGTCCACTGGTAAATTCACTAGTTTTGAACTGCGTGAAGAAATCCGCATTATGTCTAACCTACTAATGCTTAGTTTTGACAGTGAATTTTGTTTTTCTTTATCCCGCACAGTACATTCCATGGGCAACAGTACTAGCAGGCTCTATAGTGCTCTTGCAAAGACTTTAAGTAGTGGTACTTCCTCCAAACATCAAGAATATTTGGAACAGACAGACCCTGAACTCCTGGATCCCATAGATCCCAAGGATCTGCTTGAAGAATGCCAGATTGTTCTTCAGAAACGCCCTGCCCGGCTCCAACGGGATTTTGTGGATTTGAGGACCAACTCTACCAGACATCACCAACCCATTAGAGTCATGCAGTGGAACATACTTGCCCAAGGTATGAACTTGAATTGGGGAACCATTCTTCAGCTTAGTGTAAAATCAACACTGAATTACATCATACCCAGAAGGGATTAAGAAAAGTCTTCACTACCAAAATAGGGGAGGAGGCAATTTTCAGTCATTCATCTCACTGCCATATGATCCCCCAAATCTGAGCAAATGGCGGAACATAGCGCCGTTCCACATAGCCCTATATCCAAGAATATCAAGGCAGAAAATCCCACAATATCTGCATTGAACTGGGTTATTTGAATCCACACTCAGATAATGTGGGATTTTCTGCCTTAATATTCTGGGATATAGGCCTGAATGGAAGGGCCTATAGTGGACATCAGAGAGAATAGCTGAATATAGTCTTCTCTTGGCAACTTAATGGCCCTGCTGAGTAAATGGATACTTGTATTTTCTAGAGTAGAATGGCTAAAATGGAGAAGCAGATCAGTGCATAGAATGGTAGTAGAGCAGGTTATATCAACATTATCTTCATCTAAGTTACTTTTAGCAAGATTTTAGGAAGATAGTAACATTTTCAGGTATCTCTCAGTAGTGGTAGTCCGCAATTCACAAGCACAACAGCATTGTAGAATGAATAGAATACTGTAGAATTAAGTGTCCAGGCAAATTTATTTGTTTTTGTTTTAAAATTCCATCACCTTCAACAATTGTTAAGATAAAAAATGGTGTGTAAAGAAAGTCTGAATAGTTATGAATGTCCTGTTTATCTTCTAGCTCTTGGTGAAGGCAAAGACAACTTCGTTCAGTGCCCTATGGAAGCTCTAAGGTGGGAGGAAAGAAAATGCCTGATTCTCGAAGAGATCCTTGCTTATCAACCAGATATCTTGTGCCTCCAGGAAGTAGACCACTACTTTGATACCTTTCAGCCTCTGCTCAGTCGAATGGGGTACCAGTGTACTTTCTTGCCCAAACCATGGTCTCCCTGTTTAGACGTGGAATGTAACAATGGGCCAGATGGCTGCGCCTTGTTCTTCCTCAAAGACAGATTTAGTCTTGTCAACAGCACCAACATCAGGTTGACTGCCATGAAACTCAAAACCAACCAAGTGGCTATAGCTCAGATACTGAAATGCAATGAAACGGACAGACTGTTGTGTATTGCCGTTACTCATTTGAAAGCTCGCAATGGCTGGGAAAGATTTAGATATGCTCAAGGGGCTGACCTCCTTGAGAACCTGAAACGGATCACCCAAGAATCTGAGATCCCACTCATTGTTTGCGGTGACTTCAACGCCGATCCCACTGAAGAGGTGTACAAGGAATTCTCCAACTCCAGTCTGAACCTCAACAGTGCTTACAAGCTCCTGAGTGCCGATAGGCTGTCAGAACCCCCATATACAACATGGAAAATACGCCCATCTGGAGAATGCAGACACACGCTAGATTATATCTGGTATTCACAACATGCCTTAAATGTGGACAGTGCACTCAGTCTTCTAACTGAAGAGCAAATTGGACCCAACAGGCTTCCGTCTTTCAATTACCCTTCAGACCACCTGTCTTTAGTATGTGACTTCACTTTTAATGAAGATCCCGACAGGCTTTTATAGTTAGCAGGAACTAGAGGGTGTGCATGTTTTTTAAAAGTATACAATGTTAGCCTTTGTATGGGGGGTATTTATGGATAATTATTTCTTTTCAGCTATACCCTCAAAATAAAGTTTTGCCATCAACATCTTGCTGTGACAGTCAAAACAAACCAACAAAAGTCCCTTGCTAATTTATTTTAAACCTGTTTTGCCACCTCTTGGTTTGAAGACAAGATCTACATTTATTTTTGAAACAGTTGTTATGGAAGCAGGAGTCCAGATCTGTGATTTTGGTCCTGCTGGGATAGTTCTCCTATATGTATACATAGTAGGACAAAACGGTAGAATGAGCCGTAGCACATGTATTGCATTGAAACTGTACTTGAATGACCAAATTTTAGTAACTGCAACATTCAAACAGTTTTATTTTGGATATGAAGACTAATACACATTTTAATTGATTAAAATATTCTTTCTGAGTTATATTTAATTTCTGCATAGGTGGTGAGCCAAGAGCAAGCACAACAAAAGACACAACCAAAAATATGTGGTAATATATTTGGCTCTACATCAATGGTTCTCAGCCTGTTGGTCCCCAAGTGTTTTGGCCTACAATTCCCAGAAATCCCAGCCAGTTTACCAGCTGTTAGGATTTCTGAGAGTTGAAGTCCAAAACCCACAGTTTGAGAACCACTGCTCTACATGGTAAAGGATAATTTGGGATTGGGAAACAGAGATAGCAGATCACCATAACTCTGATTAAATGTGAGCCCCTCCTGTTGTTTTGATGTTGCTAATTGCCACCAACTTCAATTTATGGTGACACAATGAATGTAAGATTTATAATCATACTGCCGTCAGGTGCCAAAAACTCTGGGCTATGGCATCCTTGACTGAATTTCTCCATCCTTCATGTGGTCTTCCTCTTTTCATACTTAAGCCTTCCCAAGTATTAGTATTATTCTTCTCATTATATTAACGAAGTTCCTCAATTTCAGATTATAGTTATCTTCGCTTCTAGGAATAGTTCAAGCTTGGTCTGCCCTAGGACTCATTTAGTTAGCTGTCTGACATCCACATTTCAAATGTTTTCTTCCCATCAGCTTTCTTTACTGTACAACTTGCCCAACTTTATGTAGAAATTGGGATTATGACAGCATGGGCAATCCTAATTTTAGCATTCAATGATATATCACGTCACGTCGCTTCAGAATCTTGTCTAGTTCCTTGTCCAGTGCTAGGCAAACTTTGAACTAGAGCTCTCCCATGGGACATGCTGGCACCACATTTCTTATCTCCACTGCAGACACATATGTGAAATTCACACTGAACTAAACAGATATGCCATTGCTCAACAAATCATGTGAATCTTGGCCTTCCTGCCCTCTGCATCACCTCATCCTGAGCTGCTCTCCAGTCTCCAGTCTAGAGGCTAGATGGCCATCTGTCAGGGGTGCTTTGAATGCGATTTTCCTGCTTCTTGGACTGGATGGCCCACGAGGTCTCTTCCAACTGCTTTCTTTTCCTTTCAAGAATCCTTGTTTCCTTAATTTTCTTTCAAGGCTCCCTTTTTCAAACATGCTTTCCTTCACCTTAGACTTGTACTATCTTGTCTGTGATCTGAGTAACTTCATAGCAGTTAAGGCTAGTGCAGAACATCACTGCTTTCCAAGCACCTCCATCACTGACAGGCCATTAAAATGCTTGTCAACACTGACAGCATATCAACATTAACTATATCAACATTAGCAGGGACGGGCTGCTGTGGAGGGTCTGGATGGCAACTGTCATCAGATACTTAGCCCCCTAGGCTGAACCCAGTCATTATCCCACCACAGAAAATGTTCAGTCACTTTTGGTTTCTTACATTTGCTGTTTGGTGCTTTTAGGGTTGCCAGACAGAAAACTGGCGATAGCTCTTTGCACCCTTAAAAGTGATTTGCAAGCAGATTTTTCAGCTGTCATTGCTTGTCCCATAACCAACTGCAATCCCCGTCTGCACATCCATTAAAGGCACAGGAGCCATTTACAGGTTTCTCTCTGGCAACCCTAGTCAGGAACTAAAAGGGGTGGATTAACAATTAAATGGAGAATCATGTTCCTGATGGGAAAACAAGTTGTTAATCCTTAGGTCCAAGGATCATCTGAAAGGCTCGCCATCATCTGCCTATGACCCATGACCTATAAATTTCAAACGGCACTTCTAAAGCAGCAGCAAAAGACTTTACCACATCTGACCACCACTGGATGCAGCTGGGAGCCTACAACCTTGTTTTTCAAGTTGCTTCCTAACACAAGTATGGGGTGTACAAAGGGCTGGTGAGGACAGTGCATTGCTGGCTGTAAACCAATAGTTCTCAACCTTCCTAAAGCTGCGACCCCTTAATACCATTTCTCATGTTGTGGTGACCCCGAACCATAACATTATTTTCATTGCTACTTCATAACTGTAGTTTTGATACTGTTATGAATAGTAATGTATACATCTGATATGCAGGATGTATTTTCATTCACTGGACCAAATTTAACACAAATATCCAATACACCCAAATTTGGATACTGGTGGTGTTTGGGGGGAGGGATATTTATTTTGTCATTTGGGAATTCGAGCTGCTGGGATTTATAGCTTACCTACAATCAAAAAGCATTCTGAACTCCACCAATGATGGAATTGAACCACATTTGACATACAGAACTCCCATGACCAACAAAAAATACTGGAAAGGTTTGGTGGGCATTGGCCTTGAGTTTTGTTGTTCACCTACATCCAGGGAGCACTGTGGTCTCAAACAATTATGGATTTGGACCAAACTTGGCACGAATACTCAATATGCCTAAATGTGAACACTGGTGGAGTTTGGGGAAAATAGACCTTAACATTTGGGAGTTGTAGTTCCTGGGATTTATATTTCACCTACAATCAAACAGCATTCTGACCCCCACCGACGATAGAATTGGACCAAACTTCGCACACAGAGTCCCTATGACCAACAGAAAATACTGTGTTTTCTTATGGTCTTTGGTGACCCCTGTGATACCCTCTCGCTATCCCCCCAGGGGTCCCAACCCCCAAGTTGAGAAACACTTTGTAAACAGATCCAGACTGCATATGTTTGCCTTGATTCAAATACCTTTACTTAGTTTGAATATAAGAGTTGTGCTTAAAAATAGAATGCCTTTAACAAAGACAACTTGAATTTTAATGAATAAGAGAGGGATTTGACTTCAAATCAAAGGACATGAAGCTCTGCCTTGCCTTGGGCTTTGCTAAATGGATGGCAGCCTGCCAAGCAGTTGTTCCGATGTTTTACTTGGTTAACGGTGACAACCAGGGGGTGGGGAGAAGTCTCCATTAATGACATACTGCACCAATGTATTCATTTCCAAGGAAGATTACTTACTCAAGATTAGTACAAATCTTAATCTGTATACTGGGTTTCGAAATCTCTTGAATTAAGTTCACAAAGAGAAAATCTGTCCTTGGTAAAACATCACCTAATATATTTAGAACTACTCAAATTCTTACACACCGATTAAAAATAAGGTATCCTGCTTCTTTTGACTCAATGCTATAGAATTCTGCGAGTTGTAGTTTGGTGAGGCACCAGCATTATTTAAGAGACAATACTAAGGACCTTGTGAAACTACAACTCCAGGATTCCATAGCATTGAGCCATAGCAGTTAGAATGGAATCAAAGCGCATTAATTCTACAGTGTAAATGCATCTTGAGTGGCAAGATAAGACTCAGGCTGATAAATAACACCTGTGAAATAATCTGTGCCTCAATCCCAGTGCTGTTGGGAGTAAACATCCCTGCTTTTTGAAGCTGAAAGTGCTTCTTTTAGGCTTCAATAACTTTTTATTTTGAAGTTTCTTGTTGCACGGAAATGCGACACACATACTCTTCAGTTTCATTTAGCACTTGTAAGCAGCAATGAGATGGGGAGTTTTGGGCAAGAACGTTTTCCTGTTAACATGTTTAGCTGGCAGACTTTCGTAACGCCTGAATTGATTCACAAGCAAACAAGACCATATTGCTCATATCACACCACCATTTCAACAAAAATATGCGAAGTAGTAGAAGAACATGGTTTGGTATCTCACCAGGAGAAAATGTGTGACTGATTATGGCAATCTCACTGTGTTGTAATGTATGTGATCATTGCATGGCCAGTGCTAGTTAGGAAAATGTATTGCCAAACAGAATTTTCTTCATCAGTGTAGACAAGCCACAGACAATACATTGCAGACTCTTTCCAAAGACTGGCTAATTTATGAAACTAGTTCATAAAGTTAGCTTTATGAACTAGTTTCAAGAATCTGCCAAGTAGCAGAGATATTGGATATATCAGCTGTGAAAGCTGGCAGCTCTACTCCATACTTTTTCTAAAGCTCTGTTTCAATAATCCAACATAATCCTCTTCCTTTTCTGCCAAAGAGGGAGACCCTGATATGAACTATACTATGGCATCACTGCAATGACTTCCAATAAATTGCAATTATTGTTTCAAAGGTAGTGATCTGAATGTGCAACTTCACCTACCTTAACCAACAAACGACAATAACATGAGTCTTATCAGTTCCTTTCCAAGCAGTATTGCTTAAACTGTCTGGCAGCAGCCCTTCAGGGACTTAGGAAGTCTTAACATTGACAAATAACTTACCTGGCCTTCTGAAATTGAAGTGCTCGGGATTAACTATACACAAAACATGTCTAAACATAAATTCATTCCCAAATTATTATATTCTTCGTAACTATATGACTTTCTTACATGAAAAGCATTTCCGGGCAGGAAAGAGCACAAAATCCTCATATAAATGCTTATTAATCATCCCACATTAGTTTATTGTCCTGCAGACCTGTGAAACTAGTGTTACCGAAGCATGTTTGCTCAACCCATAAATGGGGTTTGTACATCTCCTTGAACACAGGACTAAATTTCCCTTCTAAAATATATGTAAATATGCAATGTCAGGAAAACCTTTATGTGTGGATTCAATGCAAAATCATAAAGATTACATCACATTTCCTTGCATCAGGGAAGAGTGGAATCCCAGATTTGAAATGCATCAACCTCAATCATTCAAAGCCAACCAGTTAGCAGTGCTATTCCACCCCTGCCAGTACAATGCCTTCTACATGTCAGTATGAAAAGATCACGTTTTCTGTATTTATCCTACTCAAAACATTGACGAACCAGACCTGGAGTACAAAGACATATGGCCCTTGCACACAGCCATATAACCTAGAAAATCAAGGCAGAAAAATCCCACAATATCTTCTTTGAACTGTGTTATCTGAATCCACACTGCCATATATTCCAGTTCAAAGCAGATAATGTGGGTTTTGATTCAGCTGTGTAGTAGGAGGCATTTACCTCCAACAACAGCCAGTATGACATAGTGGTTTGAGTGTTTGACTGGGACACTAGAAGACTAGGGTTGGAAACTACTTGGCCATGGAAACCCCCTCGGGCAAGTCACACGCTCTCCACCTCAGAGGAAAACAAGGGGAAACTGGGTTATCTGAACAAATTCTGCCAAAAAAAATACCATAACAGGTTTGCCTTAGGGCCACCTTAAGTCAGAAATTACTTTAAGGCACACAACAAAATTTGCTTCCACTGAAGCTGGCTGCAAGAGAGAGATAAAAAAATCAAAGCACCTTTGTTACCTTTGAAAGTGGTTAACATAGCCCTCTCCACTCTTAAGAAGCTGGCTTAGGGCCTTTCCACACAGGCATATAGCCCAGAATATCAAGGCAGGAAATCCCACAATAGCTGTTTTGACCTGGAATATATGACATTGTAGACTCAGATAACGCAGTTCAAACCAGATATTGTAGAGTATTCTGCCTTGATATTCTGGGTTATATGACTGTGAGAAAGAGCCCTCGGTTACTATTAACTGGTGGAATGGGAAGAAATTGATTCAATTGGTTTGTGGTGAGTTTTCTGGGCTGTATGGCCATGTTCCAGAAGCATTCTCTCCTGACATTTCACCCACATATATGGCAGGCATCCATAGTTGTTGTTGTGAGGTCTGTTGGAAACCAGGCAAGTAAAGTTTGCACATTTATGGAATGTCAAAGGTGGGAGAAAGAACCCTTGTCTGCTTGAGGCAAGTGTGAATGCTGCAACTGGCCACCCTGATTAGCATTTAATTGTCTTGCACCTTCAAAGCCTGGCTGCTTCCTGCCTGGGGGAACCCCTTGCTGGGACGTGCCAACTGTCCCTGATTGTTTCCTGTCAGGAATTCCCCTGTTCTTTAATACTGGCCAATTGGTCAAGCGAAAGGATCTAAGCCCCAGCTGGCAAAATAAACATTGCAGAAACAAGACACTGATCTCTATTGCCTTTCCTACTAGTTTCAACAGCCTAATAAGCAAAGAAAATGTTTTGTGCCTCATAACATTTGAAACTCTGTCCTATTTCTCTGCCTGAAACAAGATTTCCACAATAGTGAAAAATGAATCTACAATGTACTGCACTTGGATCAACAGCAGGGGGCATAGTAAGACCTTAAAGAAGAGAAAGAGACTAAGCTTAAATTTCAGGTTTGTATTTCAGTAAAACCTACTTGAATACACTTTGAAACAAGAGTACAACAAAATAGAATATACTTTAAATGTTGAATATACAAACTATTATAGTTCATTCTGAACACTGGTACTTCCCTCTAACTTCAACTAAAAAAAATGTACAGGCTTTTTAAACTACCTGACATGAGTTCATGCCAAGCGTGACCTTTCAAGTGACAGAGTAGAAGCTGAAGCTGAAATGTATGCACAGATGTCGGGGCTCCGTGGGCAACCCAAGCCTGGTGTAGCAAAAGGCCAAAACAGCCCGATGGCCATTTTGCCCACAATTAAGAAACTGACAGACCTGACTACTGTACAAAATATGTTACATGTAATTCTATAACAATACTGTGCTAGGTATAAGATTTTTTAAAAAATTGTTTTAATAAAAAATGTTTTACACAAACAAGCCATTAGCTTATTTCAAGAAAGGTAACTGAAAATCAGTCTAAGGCTTTCATTTTAAAAATCTGCTTAAGCTGTATGATACAAAAAAATCCTTCTAGATCTTCATCTTCTCATGGAAACTCTTTTAATCCTTTCCTTTTATTCACATTCTAGAATACTTAGTAGCAGTTTTTTTTTTCACATAGCACCAGTTGGATCCTGTGAGGACACAGTGGTAATTGCTGCTGGTATGCACACTAAAATGCATCAGATTTGTCATTTGTAACAGTGAGCCTCTTCCTTCCGCCCAAATCATGTACAACCAAGTGACCCGCACAGAACCTGCTTAGTGTTCTATGTCTTAGTGTACCTTGCTCATGCAAGAAGCCTCTTGAGCCCTCTCTCTTTTCAGTCCTTTCCAATTTCCCAACTTCAACAGCTTTGTTAGCTGCCCAGTTTGCAAGAGGCAATTGTGTCAGTATGTGGATGTGGTTCAGTTCCCATTGAAACATGGGACATTATTGAATTTCCAGTAAATTTCTAATATATGCATAACTATTAACAATTTTTCAAAATCGTTTATATCTTCTTGATTGTGTGTTCATTTCCCTGTCTCCCTAAATATGTCAGTTTGCTTCATTCCCACAAGAGTCTCTGCAAATGAATGTTCATAGCTGCTTCGTCTTCATTTCTCACACGTTACTATTCCCTCTGCTTTCATAGTGACCGGGAGGGCAATGGCGGAGGGCGTACTGACGACGACCACGTGAGTAACTGTCTTGGTTCCATCTGCCGGCTTTTCTTCTTGCACAAGTTGCAGCGTCTTATACTCGCTGCCTTCCTGCTTTAAAGCCATGGTTTCAGATTTGACCTCTGGGCCTTTTATGACAGCACTAATAACTCTGGGAGGAGTATGGCTACCTGCCTGCTGGGCAGGCATGGAAAGTCTCATCATTGGTGTCCCATGGGCTATGGATACTGGGGTAAGTGCTCTCACAGCCAGTGGCGTTCCAACTATGTTAATGCTGCCTGTCCCAGGCAAACCAGTCTTTGCTTGCAACTGGCACTGTGCAAGTTGTGTGGCAGGGATAGTGATTATTTTTGTCGGCTGCATCGTGATCTTCTCTCCATTTTCAGTAGATGCTGGCATCATCGTAGGGATTGTCTGGATTACTACCTTTGGGGTTGCTGCTGTTGTTGGACTTGTGCTAGTCATCAATGGTGACCCTGTATTTACAGACTGCACTGCAACAGTGGATATTTTCTGTCCCAGAGATGTCATGACAACAGGCACTTGCATGGCCACACGAACAGTCCTATCAAATAGGTGAAGATGAACACTGTATTAAAACCCAATGAGTAACACATTATAATATTTATTTATATCCCATTTTTATTTCTAAAAAAGAAACTCAAAGCGGCTCACAATGAAGCCAAGACAATACAATTAAAACCTTAAAATATACAGACATTAAACATTAAACTAAATGTTAATAGTATTAAAAATAAACAGTTAAAACCATTTAACTGTTTATCCATATATCGTATATACCATTTATCCATATATCGTATATACTCGAGTATAAGCCAACCTGAATAGAAGCCTAGGCACCTAATTTTACCACAAAAAATATATTAATGGTAATATAGAGTAAAACAATAAATGTAATAATAATAGAGTAAAATAACAAATGTAATAATAACAATAACAAATACAGAAAATAAATGTAATAATAATAGAGTAAAATAATGTAAATGTAATAATAATAATAATAATAATAATAATAATAATAATACATAGAGCAAAATAATAAATGTAATAAAATATTAATACAATATTAAATAACCTTGACTCAAGTATAAGCCGAGAAAGGGGGGGGGGCTTATTTATATCCTTAAAAAAGGGCTGAAAAACTTGGCTTATACTCAAGTATATACGGTAGTTAAAATCACATCACCCCCTGACTTGATCTTAAAAACTTCCTTCTTTCCCAAAGCCCTAGTTAAATCTAGAAGTAATGTCAGCCTTAGAAACTGGAAAGTAATAAGCAACGATACAAGGGAGGATGCTCCCCTTTTTTTACAGAGAAGTTGAGAGAATGACATCTGACACAACTCACTTCAAACTCCTGTCTATGCATAATCTGATTCATGGGTTTTACTGAGAACAGTTTATTTGTCTCTGTAACCTAAGTCTGAACAATTAATTTCAAGAAGACAGAAGCAGCTCCATTAAATGATGCTACCCTGATTCATTCCTCCTAATTCAATCCATTCAAGCAGGCAAATTAACAGAGCACTAACCTGGGAGCAGGTGTTGCTGGGACCGTGGTGGTGGGAGGAGAACAAGATGTGATTTCGTGCCCTGATGACGAGATATTCACCACTCTGGTAACAGGCTTCTCTATTCGGGTGCAGTTCAACTGAGAAGCGTTTTTTCCTGCGCGAGCGGAGGCTGCTGCTTTCAAGAGGTTTTCTGCAGAGAGAGACACTCGTTCCAATGACTTCTCATCCGTGGGGATTGATAACTCCTCAGTGCTGCATTCACTTTTGTCATCAATAACCACAATGTTTTTAGGCATTTCCTTAAACTGGTATACAAGCCTTTGGCCTTCAACCTTTGCCAAAATTCCTCTTTGATAGTAATATCTGCAAGAAAAAAACAAAATGTATTTTATTTATTAATTTACTATATCTATATACCGCCTTACTCATCCCTGTGGGGACTCAGGGGAGTTTAAAACATATTAATGGCAAACATTCAATATCAACATACATGTAGAAAGGGTAAAAATCATAATAAATAAACATTAACAACTATAAATTAAAATCATTAAAACCATTAAACATAAGATATAAACAGCATTTAAACATTAAGGCAAAGCATTAAAACATCTAGTATAAACATTAAAATCACATGATCCAAAAATCGTACACTGTAGCCATTCCAACTGCCATTACACATATTTCCTAATTATTCTTTCTACTGCATTATTTTACTGTTCAAATGCTTGGTCCCACAACCACGTCTTTGTTTTCTTTCTAAAGACCAGGAGGCCTTTTTAACTGTCTATCTTTACTGTCACGAACTGTCTTTGACATTAGTTCTTGTTATGTGCCTTCAAAGTTGGCTCTTATAACAACCATGTTATAGGGTTTTCTTGGCAAGATTTATTCAGAGGTTTACTGTAATAACAACAACAACTTTATTTATATTCTGCCCTATCTCCCCGAAGGACGCAGGGCGGATTCCAAACACAAATGGCAAACATTCAATGCCCGAATACAACAAGAATACACCCATAGTTACAAAATTTGGCAACCCAACATTTAAAAAAATTATGACTTACGAACTAAAATTAAATAACGCAACCTGTTACATCTAGCATAAGACAAAACATCGAACAGAAGCATCAATTTCCCAGTTCTTTGGAGGCAAACAGTTTTTTCATTGCTCAAGATTTATATTGAGACTGTTGTCTTAGGCTGAGAATGTGTGACATACTAAAGATAAAACTCCAGCAATAAATTAAATTTCTGAAAAGAATGAGGAAAGTGGCACACCACTGGCTTAGAAAAGTTAGACCACTTCATCAGATAAAACTCTTAGGAAATGCTGCAATGAAACTGCCCAGCAAGCCTAACACCACAATTATTTCATAAGAAACACACCAATAATTTCCATAATGTCCCCACCACTTTTTACCTCAGCGCTCTTCCCATTGTTTCATAGTTCATGTCAGGTTTGTTCTTGTGCTTTCCCCATAGTTTGGAAACAGCTTTTGAATCCACAAGTTTAAAGATGCCCTTCTCCCGCTGAGTCCACTTGATATATCGTGGACAAGTGTTTTTGTCCTGAAGGAGATCTAGAAGGAATTCCCATAAGTAGGTTGTATTTCCTGCAAGAAAAACATACCTTTCAGAAAATTCACATACAGGTCCTTTAACAAAAAAGTAAAAGATCTCCTTATATGAAAATAATACTGAATTATTATCTTACATAACATTGTTTTTTATGATAGAAATACAAAAATACATTTTTTTTTATTTAATCAAAAGTGCCCAAAGTATGTTATGCCAAGATTTTATCTGAACTATAAATTCTTCTCCCCCAGCATTGGCATTTATCATTGAAATTTCTGAGTTTCAATGTATTTCTCAGTGAGTCTTATATGTAACTCTCTACAGCCCACAGTGAATGGCACGGCAAATACTGAATATTCTTTCAATTTTCTAGTGCATACATAGCATTCTTAATTGCTGATTTCAACTAAAAATAAGCTAAAAGTATGCTTGAAAAATACAAGCAAAAATTTCAACAAGAGACTTCTGAAAAGTGCTAGAAATCTTCAGGATGACACATATTTTTACAGAATCAAACAGAAGTGTGATTGTATTCCCACAGCAAAACATAAACCACATTCTTACATTAGCCAAAATGAAACTATCAACCTCACTTCAGCCAACACCTCTAGTCCTGGAACGGAACCCCCATGATAAGTGAGGGAACACTGTACTTTGATTTTGTGTTCCAAACACACATGCATACAGTTTTAACAGAGAAACTGTCTTGAGAAAACGTGGTGTGTATTGCTTTCCAACTATTGTGATGTAATGCCAATTCAGTAGGGGGCAATCTATCACAAGAATTAGTAACAAAGACAGATTTTTGCTCCCATGATTTGAAATCACATTCTGCAAAGGCATTATAAAGGTCACCTTAAAGAAATACAAGGTATAAGGTACATTCATGATTAAATAAAACCAGAAGCATGTACTTTCAACAAAAAAATATTCCTGTAGAAAAGCTGGTTCCATCTTAAGTGTCCCAACTTTAAAATAGTTTGGCATTACTTGAACAGTGGCTATTCATAAATGGGCAACATATTTTTGGGACTTCAAATCCCACGAATCCTACACAGCATAGCCAACTGCTTATGAACAGGTAAAATTTAAGAGTTATGGATGGCAAAATACTGGTCAGGCCATAGATACTGTCTCAAGAATACCAACTCCTTCAAGTGATACACCATTTTAGCAGCACAAAATGGGGAAAGAACCCTCAATAGGAGGATCAAAACCCTTCCAATTACTGTTTTGTATCTTGCAAATTTCACAAGTGCCCCTCAGTCTAGATGAGACTTTTGCTTTCTGCTTAGAAGCTTCAAGTCATATATTTCTCAGGATATTATATTCACTGTTACTTGAAAACATGATTCCAGAGCAACACCTGCAGTGGAAATAATTGTCACACATATTCTTCTAATATGCTAAGTAGAGGTACCTCCATATAATTAACAGAAGATACCTATGAAAGTGGCCCCCTGGTGGTGAAGTGGGTTAAACCTTTGCCTTTACTACTTATGAAAGCAGATTATCTCTTATTTATTTAGTTACTACATTTCTACCCTGCTATTCTCACCCCGAAGGGAACTCAGAGCAGCTTACAGACATGGCAAAATCCAATGCTGCATTACATACAATAAGAAAGGTACAGGTCTCCCCTTTACCTTTCTGGGAAGTGATGCTCATTTTCATTTCTAAGCCTAAGAACTTTCATTTCTAAGCCGTGACCTTGGAGGTCGCCCGTAGACACCTCCAAGGTCATCTGGCCAGCATAGCTGCATGGAGCACCATTATCTTCCCCCTGAAGCGGTACCTATTAATCTACTCACATTATCATGTTTTTGAACTGTTAGGTTGGCAGAAGCTGGGGCTAACAGCAGGAGCTCATCCCATCCCCAGATTCAAACCACGAATATGTCAGTCAGCAAGTTCAGCTGCTCAGTGGTGTAACCCACTGCGCCACTGGGGGTTCCACCCGCATTACAATATAAATAAATAGACACATAGAGTAATAAAACAGGTAAAAGCCTATAAATACAATTAAAACAATTAAAAAAAACCAAATTAAAAATAGTGCCTATGCTAGTACCCAGACAGTGTTTACATTCAAGTCAGGACAATGTCCTATATTATTTATTTATTTTATTTACTTTGCTTATATACCGCTGTATCTCAAGCCCGAAGGCGACTCACAGCGGTTCACAAACAGTAGAAACAGTAGAAACAGCAGTGGTTCCATACAACATATAACAATTGACTTAACACATTATCCATAAATTACCAATAAGCAATTACAATGCACAATTATTACAAAAAACAACCGTACCCAATCTTCTCATCATCCAAGCGTAGTCCAGGTTCGTCGTCCATTGTTCCATTCCTATGTTCCATTACCAGATTGCACTAAATTACTCAAACGCCTGCACAAACATCCAGGTCTTCACCTTTTTGCGGAATACCATTAGAGATGGTTCTAGTCTAATGTCCGTAGGAAGGGCGTTCCACAGCCGAGGAGCCACCACCGAGAAGGCCCTATCTCTCGTCCCCGCCAGCCGAGCTTGAGAAGCAGGCGGGATCGAGAGCAGGGTCTCCCCGGAAGATCTCAAAGTCCTGGTGGGTTCATAGGCAGAGATGCGGTCGGATAGGTAGCTTGGGCCGGAACCATTTAGGGCTTTAAAGGCCAACGCCAGCACTTTGAATTCAGCCCGGTAGCAGATCGGTAGCCAGTGGAGTTGGCGCAACGGGGGGTTGTATGCTCCCTGCGCTCCGCTCCTGTTAAAATCATGGCTGCCGAGCGTTGGACTAGTTGGAGCTTCCGAGCTGTCTTCAAAGGCAACCCCACGTAGAGAGCGTTGCAGTAGTCTAAACGGGATGTAACCAGAGCGTGGACTACCGTGGCCAAGTCAGACTTCCCAAGGTACGGGCACAGCTGGCGCACAAGCTTTAGCTGTGCAAATGCTCACAGGAAATGTCATCCATGTCATTTATGGATGACATTTCCTGAATTCCATAAAT